TTTTAATCTTAAACGGCCAGGATTCGTACCTTAATAGAGAGGTTTCTGCACTCGTTGTTCCCAGTCCGTTCAAGATTAGCTGACGTAAAAGCTACATTTGTGTGTACTAACCAGGAATTTGCTTTCAGATGGTCTTGAGATTTTGCAAGTTTCAAGAAAAGTTTTCTCTGTTGGTGACCTTAAACAATCGATTTCTCAGCACAGCGCTCCCCGTCCACCTGTTTTCTACGCACCATGGTCAACCAAGTCGAGTTGCTGCAATGGTGCATCATGACGCGGCGGAACTTCAGCCGCACGAAAAAGTTGCGTTACCTGAGCCTGATTGACTGCGTAGAGCGGCCCTTAATTCCTAACGTGTCCTTTGACTTGGCACGCTACACTAACGCTAACTGTGAGCATGAGTTTCGTTTCGACGTGGCTGGAGTCCATGAGCTGTTTTCGTTGCTGCGTATTCCAGATGAAGTGGCTACTGTCTACAATGGCAAGGTTCACGATCGCTGTCCTGGTATCGAGGATATGTGCATCATGCTTCGCCGCCTCGCTACCCCAATGCGCTACTACGACATGCTACACCCGCGCTGGTATGTCCAATGGCACCACCACTTGCAGCGACGCCAGTGCTTGTGAGCTCGCCAGCACCAGCTCGTGCAATGACAGCAGGTTTTTTTTTCCTTGTCAGGAGCATGGAGAACTTTAAAAAGTGAGCTTCATTCTGTAGGTGGAAGACCTGCAGTTTTAAATCAGCTATAATTGCAGTTGCAAGTGATCACCCAGACGTATTGGATTCTTATCTGCACCAGCAGACACCGTAAGCATGGGCAAGAATTTACCAGATCTAGTTTTCCACAAACTTCAGCACCATCCCTAGGTGCTGCCGGCCACCTGCTCTCCCAATTACCACGTCCAAATCATCAAGAAGATGGCGTGTTTGCAGAGAGAGAGAGAGAGGAAGCCTTCGTGCGTGGCTTAGTCGCTCATATCACCAAGGAGACCTGCCTCACCACGGACTTCCAGTAAATTCTCTCTCGTCCTTCCTGCTGCTACCTCACGACACCACGCAAACTTCTGCCAATGCGTACCGGAAAGCGTCCTACCAGCTGAAGTCGTCTTCCAGTAGATAGTTGGAGTCATACTATGCCCTCTCACCGTTGAAGCTGTTGTTCTGCGTACGTGCAGCTAACCCGAGTCGTTGTAGCGGCCGTGCGCGCGAGTGTAGTAGCGACATCCTTGCCCGGGAAGATCCACTCTGGACGGTAGCACTTTATGCAGGCTCTCGAGTGTACGTCGTGTTACTACGTGGGCTTCAAACCCGTGGAGGAAAGGCACGCACTTGTCCGGGTCTATCTAGGAGAGGAGGCGGTGAGCTCGTGGCGCTGGGGTCGACGGGGATCTCTCCGTCTGGCTGGATGTCGTGCTCGATCACAAGTCGTTCTCAATTTCTTCGTTACGACTTGTAATTTACGTGGTAGCTAAGCACCTCGCAAAATTAATATTGATGCTTGCAGACTGCGAATAGAAACGGAGGCCACAGAAATGTGGCTTTGTGCTATCTTGGTCCCTGTCCTTGTCTAAACGCAGGACTGGACTGGACTGAGAATTGTTAGATGCAGAAACCTCTCTAATGTAAGAAATAATCCTGGTTTTGAACAGCTTCCTTTATTTTTACTGCTGTTTTGATTTGTGCCACCAATTATATAACTAGATTCGTTGTGCAACGATGAATCTGGGAGATAAAAATGGGGAGAGGCTTTCATGTGGACTAATTAAGACATTCGGAATCGTTTTTCGAAATTCCGTTGCTATTGTTGCATTATCCGCATACATTTGTTCGTAGATTGGTGTTCCATTCAAAATTTTCGTAGCAGGCTGCTACATAAGAATATTGCAAAAGGCCGTTAGATTTTATATTCGAGTTGTATGAAAAATGTACAATGCGATGATCACCGTCATATATTTATCCGTTGAATCACAAATACTTTGAAAATTGATTAAGAATCTCACAGCTGGTTTCACCCCCTACCTTGAGGCATTCACGATTACACATACAAACCAGAGGTCCATCAATCCAATGCTTAGCATTACGTTGAAATGCAACGTCTCAGTGTCAGCAATAATTGTTTAAAACAAGCTCACCCATTAATAATTATTATATTGGCATTTATTATTTGGGCAACAGTAATGTAAAAAGTATAAATCCAGAGAGTTATACGTGGAAGTAAATTTTAGTTTTAAAAAAGTGTAAGCGTTAGGTCGATGGAAGACGTGTTTCAGATTACTGTAAAGGAAGACACTTGGCTTCAGTGAAGAACACGTGCTACAGTTTTATGTTGCCACACCAAAATATGTTGGTTGTTCGGATAGTAGTGTGGTGCACCTCATTTTATTAATCTTGAAGTTTGTATGCATTTCGATTAAGGATTCGCGTGCAACGTGACAACGAAGGAGGAAGAGCAAGCATGGAGCCTCCGAGCCTCCTGCCGCACGTGGACGAGCTCGTGATGGAGTATCTGCTATTCCGAGGCTTTACCAAGGTACTGGACATTCTTCCCCTGCTTTTGACTCCTCCGACAGCCCAGTATTCGCAGAGTTATTAACCGAAACCTGGTTGCGTCAGAGTTTTCAAGTGTTCAGTGCCGAACGCAAGCGTGATCGCTCCCGGGGCTTCGACGTGGAGCAGATTATCTCGCAGTTACTAGTAGCCGTGCAAACGTACGTAGTATTCACGCTGGAACGAGAGCTGCAGAGGCAGTAGAAGCCGAGAGATCGATTATTTACTCACCAGCGTTATTTTTGTTATTCTCGCAGTTATCAGATAGAAACAGTGCTGGAGACATGGAAGTTCTTAACTGCGCGATTCTTCAACCACTTGGACGCGTCTTACGCCTCTGTACGGCGCTCGAATGTCAATTGATTGCATAAATTATACGTTTTGACGAGTTTTCTGCGGTTAATAACTCCACAGACACTGCAGCAGCTGGAAACTTCACTCTTGAGACTCTACGTAGTTAACGCAGTCAAGTCTGGACACCGAGAGAAGGCAGCAGAGTTCTTCCAGCTCCATGCAGACAAGTTAAACGCCTCTGTGACCGCCCAAGGGGCTGGAACGGACTCGTGGAGTCGCTGGTTCATCTTGCCGTACATCGAACACCCAGAAAGTGACCCATATTTCCAGGTTTTCTTCGGTCAGCTATGGCTGGAGGCATTCGTGACGTCATTTCGCAATTTTCTGTCGCTAGTTTTCCGAAATTTGCCGTTACCGAAGCTTCTGGCCTTCCAACTGGCTCGACTGGAAGAACCGACGCTGAAGTTGAGACTGAAGGTGAGTCAGTCCGAAGCTACGAGACTGAGACTGTACAACAGCGAAGCTACGGCTAAGATCAAGAAGCTGGAGGAGGCGGGACGGCAGTTGCACTCGATTCTTCGCTTGATGGTGCAGCACAACTTCATGGAACATTTCTCGGCGTCTACACCTAGTTACGTGGATGTGACGAGTGACCGGAACAAGAACAGAAGTCGCAGTCGCAGCCACGGCGCAGCGACAGCGAGTGTCGGACTGTCACACAAGCAGATGAAGGAAATTGGAGAGCTGTTCGGTATCAGCAGTGAGGAGAGTCCGCATGTCGATCCTCCTGCTCCTGTTGACCCGCGAGATATGCCCAGAGTAGCAGAAGTTTACCTCCCAGTCGATGAGTTGAGCGATGACGAAGAACTTGATGAAGAGGACGAAGTGGACGACGTTCCGGTGGAGAATGGAAGTGGCTGTGAGTCTACGTCACCTATGTTCTGTCCAATTGGCACAGACTCGAGTCTTCCGTCTGATGGAGAGCTGGCTAAGTCCAGTTTGACTCCGATTAAGCCGCCGTCTTGGTCTACTGGCGCGTCTATCAAGAGTTCAGATTCTATTGAGGCGTCTCTGATTCGTGAATTCAACATGCTCAACGACTGGGAACCCACAAAGTCAGCGATGACTGCAAGGAGCCGCTTCTCATCAGACGGACAGTTTCTTGCCATCGCAAAGCTGGGCAACAACCACATCGACATTTGGTCTGCGAATCCTGTAGCTCTGTCCCCTTCGTCTACAATCACGCTACCGTCGAGACTAATCAGTCTGAACTGGTTGGGTCCGGGCCCAAGCAAACAGGTGCGTATTTCAGCTTGTACCTTCAGTTCTGCGTTATCTTACGCTTGTATTTGTGTCGTGTAGCTCCTTGCCTGTACACTGGAAGACGGAGAGACGATGCTGTGGGATTCTGACGGACAGCAAGTCATCTCATGTCCTCCGACCGAAGATAACTTGCAGATACAGCAACTCATGTGTGCTCGAGAAGCGCCGATTGCTGCGTGTTTGTTCACTAGTCGCGACGAAGAGGACAACGCGCTCCAACAGATCCTGGTCTTGCATGGAGGTATGGAGGAACCGATGCAGGACTACTTCCCGATGGAAGATAAACAGCTCACTTGCTTAGCATGGAGCAAAATGGGGAACGTGTTGATTACTGGCAGTCGAACGGGCGACATCGAGTTCATCGACGTGATCCGGCCCGAGCGGATACACCGCTGCAATCTCATCTCTTGCAGTGGCTCGGCACGTATCGATGGTGGCAACTTGGCAGCGATTTGTCTGTCTCCGGACGGAGAATCGATGCTAAGTGTGCATGAGAATGGCAGAGCAGTGATGGAGTGGTCTGTCGCATCAATTTTGGTAGCTGTGGCGTCTCCGAACGATGCCGCTAGCGACGTCAGAGGGAGCGTAATAGACGTCAAGCCGACTCTGACGCGCACGTACGAGATGGACAAGCCCTTGGCATCGACTGAAGCTGAGGTAGACACAACGATCCGCTTCCTTGGAGCTGCCGGCTACTTCGTGGTGGCTGACTCCACTGCGCTCCACGTCTTCAAGGTATGACTAGAGTCTTTGAGATTCATTGTAGAATTATCTAACGTTGTACCTGTTTAATTCCCAGCATGGCGAGAGGCGCGCTATATCCAGTTTTATCCCGAGCCAAGCAGTCGTGGCGGATGTGGACTGGCACCCGAAGCTGCCGGTGTGTTGTTCAGCTAATCAGGATGGAGCCATCTCGCTGTGGAGCATGAAGGCAGCTAATGAATGAAGATCGTCAAAGCGTACGTCAATCTGTCCATCCGTCTAAAATAAACTATCTTGTCAGTGGTTCGTGTTAGAATAGGACCATCTACGAGAGCTGCACAAACACATACGATGAACAGGAAATTGGCGTTCGACAATCGTCTGTGCTATGAGCGCGATGTGATCCGACAGCAAGCACGACATCAGCGCAAGCTCGAGCAAGTGGTGCCTACCTGCCACTCACCGTCAAAGGTCTATCTGGACAGCAATGCTCCCGTATCGCACCCTCATTTGGCCACAAATGCCAAGCGCCAGCAGATCGAGAGAGATCGACAGCTCGACATCTATAACCAGAATCAGCGGCTGGCCAACAAGATGGTCCAGATCATGAATCGCCAAGAGAATATCGTGCTGGCTGCTTCCTCTCGATCGCGACTAACGCAACGCAAGCCTGGTGAGCCTGTGATGCCAACGTTAGGCGATGCTGCTAGGATCCAGACACCGGGAGCTGCGTTCCCTTCGCCTCACAAATCCGTACACAGTCCAGCACATATGCATATGCCTGGAATTCGTCTCGATGCAACGCAGACGCCTCTGCTGGACTGTCATTTGTCTCCTGAGTACGCAATAAATCGCGGTGACGCCTGCAAGAAGCCTACGCTTGTGAATCGAGCAGTGCAGAAGCGCCGACAGAATGCTATCGACCAAGAAAATCGCCGTCTCAAGGAGCGACTGGCACATTTAAAGCCGTACTATAACACCAAGAAATGGGACGGAGAGTGGCAGCAACATGCTCACAAGTTCGGCCACATGCATCAAGACGGCACAGTCGGCTATCTGTTGCCGAAAACCCCATCGAAAAGGATGGCTCCACCTTCGCGTGGCGGATGTAAAACAACTCGAGAGCGTGGGCTATCCAGAGGTGCCAATGCGCGGGAACTGCCTTCTCTGGATCGTAAAAACAAGCACAATTCCAGTCGAGCTGGACGAATTAAAGAGCTGCAGGATAATCGATCAAGATGTCAAGAAATGGAAGACGAAGAGCTAGTTCGTGATTTGCCGCCTTGCTTACTTCTTGAAGCCACGACTAGACAAGGCGTCGAGGTGACGGTGGATGAGTTACAGATTGAACTGACCCGTTCCGACATTGCAGAGCTTGGCGATCGGTAGGTATTTACTGACTTGTCGAGCAATTGCTTGTTTTCTGAATAGTGTTGTGTATTTCTAGTGGTCTGATGATTCACGGATCTTGGAAAGACAACACCTTCGGAGACCTGTTAGTGAATCACGATGCGCTCGTGCAGGTGGCTCAGATCGTGGATGACCTCGAGATCATGTAAGCTACTGCTGATCGAGAAGCTTTAATACGCACCTAGTACTTATTCGGTTGGGTTTTGTTTAGGATTAAGCTCGAGACGGTCTCACAAGTGCCTTCAGCAGGCAATGTTCCTAGCCTTTCAACATTACTGACTGATGACGAATTACAGAAATTACTGGTTGGTGTGGTACAACAACTACGATTTCAAGTGGCCCCAGCTCCACCAGACGCAACATCAAGTCCTCAGCTCCTTATTTCATGGGCATTGCCGATTCGAGATGGCAATACAAGAGCTGAAAGCTCCTGTCCAACACGAGAGCGATCACGACCACGTACATGTCCGTCAACGATTGTGAGCGATAATGAACCCCAGCGTCAAACTTCAGAGATGCAAGACGAAGAATACGCAGATGACTTTAACGAAATGACTTTCCGCGATGATATCGAAGCAGATCCTCTCGATTGGGCTATTCGATACAAGATGGCTGCTATCCTGAATCTCGATGGGAGACGGAGACGAACTGTTGCACGTAAAGACTCAAACTTTTACGTGGTTTCATCATGGTTCGACGAAGAAACTGGTATACAGACCATAAAAACGACTGGGGTTGGAAGTGCTGCGGATATCGAGGTACCTGCAGTGGAGATCATGTACAATATTACTGAGATGGAAAAATTACAACTGCAGTTAGAAGCAGGCTCCCTAACTGTATCAGAACTGCTAACCAGGACTGTGACTTCACTTCTTCCTTGAGAGTATGGAAGCTGATAGATTCTATAAAAATCGACGTTTATAAGGTATATTTTTTCTTAACACATTCGAGCAACAGCTTCTCACGGTATTTGTAAGCCTCGAGTTGGTCTGGAATCTTAGACAGCCGGTCAGGAGCGATATGTTGGTAGAGTTCTTGCAACTCTCGTTCAACTTCTGCTTTTTGCTTATCGTAGAATGCTCCAAGTTCGTCCTGGAGAAGAGAAAACAAGTCTTCGTATTCAGCACGTTGCTGTACAAGTCGGCTGTCTCCTTTGCTCAGATCTTGCGTTTCATCACTTGGATGAAGTCGAAAGAAAGCCATCGCATCAAAAATGACTTGCAATGGGTTCTCATTAAACGAATTCAATACGTTTAGAGAGGCTCCTTGCTTGATTAGCACGATGGCGCATTGTGGATCGTAGTGACGCAGCGCTAATAACAGCATTGTATCTCCATTGACCACACGGTCGAATAGAGTCGCTGAAGAGCTAGATGCAGCTGCACTAGTCTTGTCAAAGAAACCTAGCAAAGCAATTTGTCATTAAGATCCGCGTGGTGCGAAAAGACGACGAAGCCTTACCGAAGGTATGAAACTGCATAGGGGCCCCGAATCCAAACGTTTTCACTTGAGTGTCAACTGCTGTATCAGGAATGTCTTTAAGCTCAGTAAAAACTCGGATTAGCTCGTTGTGTTCCCTCTTCGCCAGCGCGTGGAGCGCATGCATGTCCCACCGATGGCTGATCAACTTGGGCATTCCGAGTGCAATGCAGCTTCTGCGCTTGAATAAACAGTCGTGGTTAAATTGGCATCACTACAAATGGTAATTCGTTTGACAGTGCCAAATTTTAACGTTAGTGCAATACAGATTGTTTTTGGTATTTTTCTTTGCCATTGCTGTGATGCGCGCATATCCTAAAAAAAAAAAAACTCGTTTTCTTCCCTACAGAAACAGCAAACACAAACCGAGAGTTTACATACCAAGGACATCGTTGTGACGTCGGACGCCTATCTCAGCGGTCGTGCATATTGTGCCGGGGAGCGTAGCAATACCAGAGGGGGTGTTCTCCAGATTTTTTAATTATTTTTGAAGTAAATATGGGTCGGAATTTACGACATCCGTCCTATCTTTATGATGGGACCATAACATGATGAAAACCAGAAGATGCTAATGCGATCGCCTCTACTTGTTCGAACAAGGCTCGAGCGAGATGAACTAATACGTTGGTCATGCTAGGTGCTGCTCCACGAGGAAGATTGGAAGTTTTGGCAATACTTCATGATACTTTGGTGCTCCGTCACTGAGGATAGCTTCGCTTGCCAGATGCTCGCCACGCAAACACATCGAGCGAGGCCGAATTGACGTTACACGGCCTCTTCAATAATAATTGTGCATACACCAGGATAACATGAATGATCTGAAAAGGCCGTCTATGTTTGCGCCCTGGGGAATTTTAGGAGCTAACGTATCCTCACCGTGGCGGCTGAGTTAGTTCGCGAGGACCTCACGTACTAACTCAACCGCCTGCTCCGTGACTGCTTGTCATTCTGCAATTCTTCGATCTTGACGCGGATCAACAGCCTCCTACTCAGTCGATGAAGTTTTATAGTGTGCTGAGCGCCATCTGGGGTGCACTTGCTGTCGTCCAAGCCCAAGAAACCAAAACAAATTCGACGGTCAAGTACATTGACTTTTCGAGTCTGAAGAAATACACGAGAGCACCCACGACCCAGTCAGAAATGTCGGGATCACAGGTTGACCAGACAATTCAAGTGCCTATATCGACGAGACCAGACCCGAGAGCGACAGAAGCTCCTACGCCGACACCAACATTGTCTCCAACGTCAACTCCAACACCTGCTCCGACCCCGGACCCGGGTCCGTGGATAACCATCACCATCGACCACGACCAAGTAAAGCCGTTTCCACAACCTCAGCCCGTCACAATCTCTGAAAAGGCTGCAGTCAAGTTCAAACCACAACTCCACATCACGAATGGATGTCATTCGTATCCAGCAGTTGATGAAGCCGGACAGACCAGTGGTGGTCTCAAAACAAAAGGAGCCCCTAGTGCTGGGTGCAAGGGATCCGGATGGGGTTCGCAAGTCTACGGTCGATCTAGTTGGTATCAGGGAGTTTGGGCCATCATGTACTGTTGGTATTTCCCAAAGGACGAGCCGTCCACCGGAATTGGCCATCGCCACGACTGGGAGCACGTCATCGTGTGGATCGACAACCCTGAGATAGCGAACCCGAAGATCCTAGCTGTCACGCCGTCGGCACACAGTGGATATCACAAGTACGCCCCTCCGAATCCTGATACCATCGATGGTGCCACTACAAAAGTAGCGTACGAGAGTCACTGGCCCATGGATCATGCCCTTGGCTCCACTTCGGAAGCCGGTGACTTCCAAGATCTGATTATGTGGGGTCAGTTGTCAGAGAATGCCAGCCGTGCGCTGAACGCTGTGTACTGGGGCAATGCGAATACACCCATGAACGATGGGAACTTTCTACCGAAGCTTGCTAAAGCGTGGCCATTTTAGTTGATATTTAGTACGTGAAGCACTGTAAAAACATGTTTGTAGTTAACACGTTTCGTGTTTCATCGAATATCTTTTATTATACTTAAAAGAAGCACCCTGGTGTTTTTATTCATGGGCACGGTTTTCATTTGTGCAGTGTAAGATTGATGTCTAAATCAAAACAGTACAACACTTACCTCAGTACATGTATAGGCGTAAAATCGGTATTTGTTAACTAGAGCCTTGCTTAAGCTAAGATAGCTTGTTCTTTCTTCGTCATTGCCGGGTGATTTAGGGCCACCCACTATCAAATGTCGGTGTCGGTGCCTTCAAAGGTTAGAAAACTATTAATAGGACATTTCGTCGGCAGATGCCGAGCGTTAGATCTATTTGGACGCTGTGTGAAAAATGAGTACAACCGACATACTGTACACGTAACCGCACTCTCCAATGACAAGCTTTGAATTCTCGATTCTACCAAGTGGGTCATTGTTGCGTTCTCATAGCAACTCATGCCCACTCTTAGTTTGAATTCCGACTTCTAGCGAGATGTAGAATGTGCTTGTAAAACGACCAGAAGCCCGGATACAGGAGAGCTAATCGCTTTCTTCGAAATCAAAGACATCCGCACGGAAATCTGTGCCATCTGCACTTCTACACACGATGTCTTTAGCCAACTTGATAGATGTAAGTTCTAATATCGTTGTGGGCTGTAGTATCCAACCCACAACGATACCAGGACTCTAGAACATTTAGTTAATAATTCAAACAGAAGGCCCTCTACTTTAAAAAACGATAGTAATTTTAACTTACACTTATAAATATTACAATTTCTTTCTTCAGCTTTTTTTTACTTAAAAAGTTTAACAAGAACATGATTGTGAAGGTTTTCTATTTGAGAAATACACCTTCCAACCAGTACTCTGGACACGACGCGACAGTCTAAACACTTCGGCTCAAGTATTTGCATTCCGCTGAAAGGAAAGGTCTGCTACAGCCTCTGAAGTTTAAGTAATCATTACGCTTCATGAATCGACAAAATATCACCGTGAGCCTTCTCGCTGGGGTAAGGTCTGTCCGTGACAAAGGACGGTATGGTTACCCGAGAGTTAGCCCAGCAACAATTGGACGGGTAACCGACTCCTGGTATAGCTGGCTACGTCGGCCGAGGTATTCTGGAGAATGGATATTTGTACTATGCAAAGGTTTATTGGGGTCCAAATTTTTTTTACTTTTTTTGACTTGATTTTGTATGGCGGTAGTGAGCGGCATGGTCGTAGCAAATCCACACGATATTTACGTAATGGGCCCAGCAACGAGCTTACCAACGAACGGACTCAATACAGACTGGGAATTTTTTCTATCGTGTGGTTAGGGTGGAGGGAGGTTCAAGTTGATCCATTTTTGACCTGACCCGAATATGATCACAAGAAGCCTGCGGCACTATTTTGGGTTGTGTGCCATCACACCATCACAAGCAGGATCGAATCCCTCGCTTTCGATTCCGATACCAGATAATGTCCTAACCTTACCACTAAACCCTAGACTATTAAATTTTAATACATGTATGTTAAAATAGTATTTTACATGTACAAATCAGTAACACATCTCAGACAAAACGTGCGAATCGAAACATTTGGTTCCGAATCTTTCGGAAGTCATCAAGGGTTCGTGATGTGTGCATGATATCGATTGACACGTCGAGGATTACGAGCACACAATGCTTCGATGCCAAATCCCAGTGGTTGGTGCGCAACGGGATCGTCCGAAACGCTGTAGATTTTCAAATGAAGTCAAAAGCGTGTTACTAGTACAGTATAGGTTTCGGACGATTCTGAGCAGTTTTTTCAGATCGCGTTTCGCTTGTGCAGACTAACACCACGGCACTAAGAACTTGTTGCGTTTGTTCATGAAGTGCATTACATGCATTCTCGCAGTGCTGTGCATGTATTAATACCACTCGAAAATGCGATGGTCTTGAATATGACCGTCGTTTGATTGAAGTACAACCGGTATTAATACATTCCAGCTCTTTTTGTAACTTTGAAAAGCGTTGTTATGCCAGTATTGTATACTGAACCTCCAATAAGCTTAGGAAAAAGTGCACTGAAAGACAGCGTTCTAAGCGACAATGTGGTGGTAACTTACCACAGGACAGTGCAGCTGCGTTTAGCGAACCAATTGACCCCAGCTGTTGCACTTGTGTGACGGGGTACGAGCAGAACTGGAGGGGGTGAGCGAGTCCAATAGAACAAGAATTTTTATGACCTCCTTCCTATCTCTAAGATGCAATTTTGTATAGAGTGGACGAACAACTTGTCTGTTTTCCTTCCATACTAAAAAGTGGCCCACCCTCATATCCCTCAATTAATATTTTTTTAAAAAAAAGAGAGAGACAGATTTGACATCGGGAAATCACATTTCATTTAAAAAATATTTTTCAAACACATACTCTGATTAATCCAACTCAAACTCCGGCGCTAATGTCCGGTCCCTTCTACCTGATAACGATGCAAAGTCAGCTTAATTTTAACGTGTTCGGAAGCACAATGACGTCCCAAATCGATTATCTCATTTTGTTCATTATATAAACTTAAATAAATAGCTACGTGTAGTGTGTACATGCAGCAAAAGATATGCAGACTCACGAGTTGTTCGCTCACGTATCCATACGTACAAGAATTCCCATGGACAAGTCAAGAGCAACTGAGTAGCCTTGATGTTTCGCTGAAATTTTCGCTCTACACTTGCGCAGGTAAAGGGAACGAATCTCGCGAATGAATCACACGCAGACCCTTGTTACGATCTCTTGGCTGTGAAATCATTTCGTTGTTAAGAAATTTGTAGGAATTTATCTTTTCCCACAATTACCGATACGGTAGGAAGAGCTTGGTTGCTTTCAACATGGGAAACCGCATCAGGATAAAACAGTTAAAAGGGTTAAGAGTTAAAAGAGTAAAATTTTGACTACCGAGTAGCAAAGATGAGTCCGGATCACACACACTGTAATGTGTTTTTGTATTTGTACTTGCTGCAGTTATGGTGGCTAATACGACCAAGGCGCTACGCTGCATACGGCATACGGTAATGTGCTGTATGTCGATGTCCCTCCTCAAGCAGTCAACTTTCCCTCGCCTGACTTTGCGAACAGCGCGATACGCTTTTGTGATCTGCAAGCACTGTCTCTCCTTCGTACACCGAAGGGATAGGCACGGACCGTGCCACACGGTTGGTAATTACTAATTTGCATGAGAGACTCGGCCATTCGGCAATTCTTCCACCCACCACGAGTCAAGGACGATGAAGACGAGCACCGTTCTGTTTGCCGCTTTCGCCGCGGTCGCTGCGATTCAAGCCGAAACGACCAATTCAACCGTGAAGTACATCGATTACTCGAGTTTGAAGAAGTTTACGAGGGCTCCAGCTACCAAAGAGACCAATTCGACCGTGAAGTACATCGACTATTCGAGTTTGAAGAAATTCACGAGGGCTCCAGCTACAAAGAAGACCAGCACGGCCGGTTCTAACGAACAACAACAACAGGAGCAAAACCAACAGCAGCAACAATCCAGCCTGTCGGGTTCTCATGAACAGCAGGAGGAGATTGAAACGCCCGCCCCGACGCACGTGCCTATTCCTACCCGACCGGACCCTAGACAGACCGAAGCTCCGACACCCGCACCGACACCGGCGCCGACTCCGGCTCCGACACCTGCACCGACACCCGATCCGGGTCCGTGGGTAGCGAAGTGGATCGACCACGACCAAGTTAAGCCGTTCCCGCAACCAGAGCCCGTCACCATTTCGGAGAAGGCAGCAGTCAAGTTCAAGCCTCAGATTCACATCACGAACGGATGTCACCCGTACCCTGCGGTGAACGAAGCCGGTGAAACCAGTGGCGGTCTCAAAACGAAGGGTGCTCCCAGCGCTAAATGCAAGGGATCTGGATGGGGTTCTCAGGTGTACGGCCGATCTACGTGGGTCCAGGGCATCTGGGCCATCATGTATTCGTGGTACTTCCCCAAGGACTCGCCGTCCTCGGGACTGGGCCACCGTCACGACTGGGAGCACGTCATCGTGTGGATCGACAACCCCGACGTGGAAAACCCCAAGATTTTGGCCGTGACCCCGTCGGCTCACGATGGTTATTCCAAGCAGGTCCCTCCGAATGCCGACTGCGTTGACGGTACGAGCGTGAAGGTCAAGTACGAGAGCCACTGGCCGATCAACCACGCTCTTGAATCCACTTCCGAGGGCGGTGACTTCCAGGACCTTATCATGTGGGATCAGCTCTCAGAGGACGCCCGTCGGGCCATGAACGGCGTCGGCTGGGGCAAGGCAAACACACCTTTCAACGATGGTAACTTCAAGCCTAAGCTGGAGAAAGCGTGGCCTTTTAAGAAATGATTTTAGCGAATGTAGCTAGGATCATTATGTAGGACAGCGTGCGATAACAAGGTATTATCGTACGATCACAACGTCATGCGTAGACAACAAGGGCACTGGAGATTTCAATATGCGCTTCTGCTCCTTTACTAACGGTATGATGAAGTGGTGCATATTAATAGTTGAAGGTTACCTACTGTACTTAAAATGCCGTCAAATTTACGTATGCTGCACTGAATCAAACAGTTTCAATCCCAGGCGGTTGCGATTCCTCGACTGCAAAAAACGTGGGATGGTAGTTTCGTGAACTTGGCCGTCGCTTCAAGTCGGTGGCCAAATGTGATAGTTTTCTTTCAACTTCACTGAGCTCTTATGGGCTGCTGTTCCACCAAGGAGCAGGTCGGCGTCGAGGATGGAGCTCCAACTCAAGGTGTGCTTCCTGCAAGCTCTCGAAAGTGCAGAGATGTGATTTGTGCTTTGCTTTTCGCCGTCTTCTGGGTTGGTATGATCGCTATCGCTGCCGTCGGATTCATGCACGGCGAGCCCAAACGACTTCTATACGGATCGGACTACAACGGCACTACGTGTGGCACTGGGAAACAGCAAGATCAGCCTTTAACGTTTTATCCTCGAATCACGCAGGACTTATTGGAGCAAGCCTCCAACCCGGCATTATCTGTTGACGATTTTTCGTTCTACGGGGTCTGCGTAGCAACCTGTCCGGATGCAGGCACGTACATCTGCAACTACGAAGCTGAAGCAGAAATCCAAAGTGATACCTCACTTACCACAGATAAAGAGCGAGAACAAGAGCGCAAATCAAGAGCTACAGACTTCATAATTCTATCCAGCGAGAAACAATGTTGGCTGGTAGCGTTACCGAGTGAAAAAGTGTTCTACCGTTGTCTTCAAATCACGGAGTTGAACTCAACGTCAATAGAAAAGTGTGTGGTCCCAGGCGATGAACCAGAATACTACGAAGAGGTAAACGGTGTTCAAGTGCCTAATGACAAGTGCGAGATTAAACGCGTAATAACCACGTCGGAGTCGGTGGAGCCGGCACAAGAGAATCCGCTATACTCGAAGTTGCAAACTGTTGGATCTACCGTTGGACGGGTCATTGGCGATCTGCAGGAAACTTGGCCAGTTTTCCTTGTCTGTGGAGGCGTTCTTGCACTCGTTTTGGGCTTTGCATTCGTCATTCTCTTGAGGTTTTGTGCTGGATGTATCGTGTGGATCACACTGTGGAGTTTTGTGCTGCTGTTGCTACTCTTTGCTTTGATGCTGAGTACCAAGGGAGGCATCATCGGCAGTTCAGATCTTAATGCTCTCACTTCAGAAATCGCGTCTGCTGCAGCAGCGGCAGGTGTGGATTCCTCCGATGTAAATACCACAGCGATCGTGCTTCCTCAGACACTGCAAGCAAGTCAGGATAAACAAAAGGCTTATGCTGCAGCAGCTTATGTTGTCTATGCATTGGCAGGTGTCGCGCTTTTGCTAGTCTGTTTCTTCCAGAAGAAAATTCGTATTGCTGTTGGGATCGTGAAGGAGGCATCACGTGCACTGCAGAGTCTGCCACTGCTGGTATTATTCCCCATCATTCCGTTCGTTATGCTGTTGATACTGTTCGCGTATGCGGCAATCGTCGGTGCCTTCATTTACAGTTCGGGAGAGATGGAGTTAGCCTCTTTGGCAGGTGAGCTTGCGGACCAGACTGGACAAAACATAACAGCAGAAGCGACGACGACTTTAAGTAAAGTGAGTCCGGATCAGACGATGAAGTTGTTGGTAGCGTATCATTTCTTCGGCTTCTTGTGGACAGCTCAACTCATCAACGCTATTAGTATGTGTACGATAGCTGGTGCTGTGAGTCGCTACTATTGGAGCCGCAACAAGACTAGTGAGGAAATGGGACGGTTCCCTGTGCTTACTTCGTTCAAGAATTGCTTCCGCTACCACTTCGGATCACTCGCATTCGGGTCTTTTATCATTGCTGTGGTGCAGTTTATTAGAGCTGCACTGCTGTATCTGGACCATCAAACGAAAGATCTCCAGAAATCCAATCTTGTGCTTAAAGTGGCTATGAAGATCGTGCAGTGCTGTTTATGGTGTCTAGAGAAATGTCTGCGTTTCTTATCGAAGAACGCGTACATCCTCATTGCTATGAAAGGCCACAGCTTCTGCGCATCGGCCAAGGACGCGTTCAAGATTTTGCTGACTAATATCGCACAGGTTGGTGCCGTATCGACCGTGACTTTCCTACTACTAGGTGCTGGCAAGATAGCTGTCGCATTGAGCTGCGCTATCGCAACTTTCTCCTACTTGGAGAAAAATAACGACGACTATGGCGTTGGTGGAGCTCACGAGTTGTCGTCTCCCTTAGCTCCAATCCTATTGGCACTTTTACTCGGCTGGTTCGTGGCTTCGACGCTTCTTGGAGTCTACGAGATGGCCATTGATACTATTTTGTTGTGTTTCTGCGAGGACAAAGAACTCAACAAAGAATCGGGTCAGTATTTTATGAGCGATTCGCTTAAGAAATTCGTAGCAAAGGTCAACAAGGCGGAGTCCCAAGGTGCAGATACTCATGCTGATAAGCCCAAAGTGTAACGATGGAGCCCAATAATGAACGGATAGCATAACCTTTTGTTTTTATTTAAACGTGGGCAACACTAGCAGCACAAACGTGCACTTGGTATATGTAGCCTACATAATATGTAATATTATGCCAAGTACATAATGTAGGTCTGCTGGATTTGCAATATATTGAAAAACAGAGGCAGTTGCTATCTGTTGTCTGTCTTATGGTGGTATTTTTGAACGAATCACCAATAATTGGAGCTTACAATCATGAAATAACCCAATAAACCCATTCCATAAATTGACTGAGTTCAATAAAAAAAAACATACCCAACCATTCTCAAAACCCAATTGCTAACTCGCAACTGCCACGTGACGATGGCGCTCCTGATGCGTGGCCGCCGTGTCGAGCTCCTAGTGGCTTCAGCTATGACGGCGTACGTGTTTCTCTGCCCATTCGCCAAAGTGGAGGAGAGCTTTAATATGCAAGCGACGCACGATCTACTAGTATTTGGGGTGCGCAATGTGGACAAATTTGATCATATGGAGTTCCCAGGGGTAGTTCCGCGCACCTTTTTGGGCTCATTGGCTGTGGCTGGTGTGAGTCGCCCCATTGTTTCAATCCTTCAAGCGCTCGGAGGTCCAAAGTTCTGGATGCAAGTGGCGACGCGATGGGTGTTGGGCATGATGACGCTAGGAAGCCTGGTTTTCTTCAGTGACGGCGTGGGAATGCGCTTCGGGCGGGACGTGAGTCGGTTCTTGCTCCTGATCTGTGCCTGTCAGTTCCATCTTTTATTCTACATGACACGTACTCTACCCAATGTCTATGCACTGGTACGAAAAGTAGAACGACGTCGAGCGAGGTAGAGTTAGTGAACTGACGAGGTTGCTTTCGAAACTACTGCAGGCGCTGGTGCTACTTGGACTGGGATTTTGGCTTCGAGTACGTATCGGATGTAGTCTGTAGTAAAAGTGAGGTGGTGATATTTATTATTATTTTTTTGTAGGGCAAGTGGCAACGTTGTGTGTTCCTGTTCACGTTCACGACGGTAGTATTCCGGGGTGACACGATTGTATTGTTCGCTCCGTTGGTGTTGAATATGTTACTATCTCGTCGAGTATCCTTCTTCCGGATGGTTTGGTGGGGGTTGTCATCGGGGATTGTGTCGTTGATCTTGACGGTACTGGTGGACTCCTACTTCTGGCGGCGCTGGCTTTGGCCTGAAGGTGAGGTGCTGTGGTTCAACACAGTGCAGAACAAGAGCAGCGAGTGGGGTGTGAGTCCGCCATTGTGGTATTTTACTTCAGCGCTGCCGCGTGCACTCCAAATGACAGCGTTGCTGATCCCATTAGGACTCAGGTTCGTGCTCTGTCTAGAGGTACAGGAAGAGCTTGAGGACTCACTTGTGTACTATTTGACTGTTTACTTGACAGCTCGCTACTTCCCACACTCTTAAAGAGCCACTCGTTGCACGACATTGCGTGGGCTTTTAAGACGGCGCCAATTGTCGACTGGAGTGTCTTCTCCCTTGTGTGGCCTGTGTTCGTCTACCTGGGACTTTTCTCGTTCCTTCCTCACAAGGAATTGCGGTTTATCTTCAATGCGATCCCTATCCTGAATATGGGGTCTGCTGTGGTATGTATACAAGGTATGAAAAAGTAAAACTGCATGTCTAACCTGTTTTATGCCATAATTTCTGCATAGGGTCTGGCAAAACTGTTTCGCAACAGAAGCAAGGTAAGCAAACGTGCTTTGATATCCTGCTAAAAAATCTCCTTTACAGTACTCTCGTGTTTATTTTCTACAGGCGCTTCTACCGTTTGTTGGGGCCATTGGTTGTCTACTGATCACAAGTTTGGGCACTTTGTTCTTGCTCACCGCTGCTCAGTCCAACTACCCTGGTAAGACTTGACCATATATTACACTCATAGTAGCTGATTATGACACTGTATATCTCCCCAGGTGGTGAAGCGTTTGTGCGATTGCACCAAATCGCTACGAAGGAGCATGACTTGCCTCGTAGTGTGCACATTGACGTCCCGGCTGCGATGACGGGTGTGTCTCGTTTTGGAGAGGAGTTCTCCGCTTGGAGGTTTGTGCTTACGAGTTGCTAGACATTTAGTGTCTACTGCTTACTTTTTTCTTTGTGGACAGATACTCTAAGGACGAGTCGATGACTACAGTTGAGCACCTTAAGCAGTTCGACTATTTGCTGACAGCCAAGGACCCAACACCGCTGGAAGATGATTTCCAATACATCGCGGGTTTTAGTGTCTTTGACGGTGTCGGTCTTGTTGACCACCGTATCACACTCAAGACAAAGAAACTGATTTTCCTCATGCGCAAAAGAAACATCACGGCAGGGAAGGTGTAGCGATTTAATGAATGTCGAGGAATTTTTTTTACTCCACAAATAAATAAAACAAAAGTAAGAAGCAGTTGAAAGTGCATTCAAACAACAGTGCAAGGCAGCAGTAAATCGAGCCTAGAAAACTATCAAGCTGCATCGTTTCGAAATAATTCCTTGTGCTTTCAAGCATAAACTTGTTACGCCTTGACTTGGGTAACGTAGCCGACAAAATACAGGAATCGCAGCATGCTTCTCGCATTCTCGTCACAACGCGCTGGGCCTTTCCCTTGGTGTACCACCGAGGCATCCCCACGACTGAACTCCAACAAATCAAAGGGTTCACTTCCACGGCTTCGAAGCCATTCCACCAACTTCGACTGCTCTGCCGAGCACTGAAACATGACGTGGAGTTGTGACTCTCTCTTGTCATTGCCGAAGTTCTCGTCCAGTATGTACGTGTGCTTGTCAGTGTGCGAGATCGTTCGCAACGTTTGTTTGCGCTTGGGCTTCGGTTTAGGCGTCTTTTTCAACGCACGATGCTGAGTCTGCGACGTATTTGCCGGTGTAGTGCCCTCAGAACTCGGACTTTCGCTTCGCTGTGCTGGTAGATAAGGAATCTCCTCTGCGCGCATCAATACAGCGACCGGGTTGACGCGGTAAGCAGCATCTCGGAAGATCTTCGAATGCTTCAGTTTGAACCTCGGATTGGTCAGATCCACAGCAATACTCGTCGAGTTTGACGACTTGTTCGTGACCTGAATGAGACCTTGAGCCACCAGCTCCTGCATGTCCTCAGTCGCTAAGTATTCTGGCAGTACGTCGCTGCCATCAAGCTCTGCCATCTCCTTACGTAGGGATTGGATACAGACTTCTGCGTGGTGTCGAGCTTGTTTAATCTGGTGGCGATTGCCGGAATACAACTGGACTCTCATTCGACACTGTTTGTCACTCAAAACCAGTTGCTTCACGGCTGAAAACACCAATTCCTCGTAGGTAAATGAGCCCAACTGTACCTCCAGCCATAGCGTATTCACACCTAGTGTCTTGGTCTCAAACCATACACCGGCAGGGATATACAGAACTGACCCAGACTTTAACAAATTTTCTTCTGGTTCATCAGAGACTCCAGCGACGTTCACGTTCTCATCAAAAACATCAATATCGTCGCCCGGTGGAGCCAAAAAGCCCGTATTAGAGTGATTCATCGACGACAAGCGATGGACTTTGGCGATTTGGGCCACATCTCCTATTTGCCACGAGTCTGGATGAAAACACTCAACCGGGTACTCCACTTGACTCTTCTTCAGTCTCCACATCGACCTCCCACTTAGTTGAAAGACTACAGTTTCCGAGCGGTGGAACTGCCAATCCAGCACAGTGTCTTCTAGAGGACAGCTCACAATCTTGGCAGTATGGCGAGCCATTGCGTACATAAGTCCGAGTTCCTTCGCTAATGGAGTGATGTAGTGCTCAGCGACACTACGTGGTGCTGGAAATCGCAGCGGACAGTTCTCCAGATCTCGAGCCTTAGCGATTGACACAGGCTCCAATACATGAGATCCGGTGCTATGGCGAACACCAGATAACTTCGGGTGTAGCTGAACAACGGGGCCATCCTCTGTCTCCACAGCATCCAGTAAGTTCTGCACGTTTAAGTGCCGCAACTCCGTGATGTCGTTCCTGATTAACTCTTGGAAGCGAGACACTGGAGCGTGACCTACAAACGGGGTTCCTTGGAATGACCCCTTCACTTTGTTCGCTAGTTCCTCTGATCCCATTAGCTGAACCAATGCCGGTCGATCATTTGCATCTGTCATTAACATTTCCGACTTGACAGCCTGCACAGGGGTTGATAAAGTAACAGGGTGCACTGGCAACGAAGATTTTGCCTTTTTGGAACTCACTTTATCGATCTGTGTTGTGGCATTCTCGTGGTTTGAGAACACTGGACAGCCCTGTAGATGGCGTGTTGCAATACCGCGTGATGCTGTCATTTTATGGCCGCAATGTTTGCAAGTCATTTCATTAACTGCGTTGCGGGCAAAGTGAGTCATCACCGTCACATCGGACAGTTGTTGATTGGAAGCTGAGAACTTGGCAGGATCATTTTTCACTCTCGAAGAGCGTCGTAGTGGCCGTGAGGTTTTCGCTTCAGATTTGCTGCTTTTAGGCGGTACAGGAAGAGTTTTCCGCTTCTTTGAAGCCGCGCGCTTAGACTGCTTCGGAGTGTGAACAGGAGCCACGGCTTTTCTCTTCTGTGGACGCTTTGGGGTAGAGTGACTATCAGGAATTGAAGCTGCTGCAGGTTGGTCTCTTGGTGAACTCGCACTATTTCTTGTCTGCATCATGATCATGGGCTGGGCAGGAGTCGTTGCCTCTAGAGCAGAGCTACTCGACTTGGCGCTTACAGGAGTAGACACCCGCATTTCCTGTCGTGATTGTTGGTCAGTTGCTTCGTGCTCGGTACTTTGCGGAGTTTCGACTACGATCTCATCAGCGATCTCCATGTTCTCGTTTTTATTGCCGGGCTCCTCGTTCTCTTGTGTTAACGACATCTCCATAGACTCTTCCGGCTTTTCGACATCACCAGCAAGAGAGTTACTGGGCTGCATATCATCATTGATCTTCGCCGGTTTTGTTGGTGTGCTGGCCTGAACATCACCTGAGACCAAAGGTGTAGGTAAGTTCGACGGGATCAGCGGATCATGACAACCGGGCGATTCAGGGGCTTCTTGTTGAGCTGCCTCATGCTCACCATTCTCGCTATCAGCAGCTTTGATGCCTTTACTTGGTGATTGTGCAATTGGATCCGCTTCACCAAGCACTACTTGCTCCTCCTCGTTCGTAGTGGATTTCTTTTTGACCATCTTGCTTTCTTCCACTTCGTCATTGTCACTTTCTTCATCATCGCTAGAGAATCTTAAGTCTCCTGGATCATCAACGTCCACGTCATCGTCCTCACTGGAATCTTTTGCATCATCACATGGAATAGTCGCTCTCCCCGTTGATACAAGCGTCGATGAAGTCTCCTGGTCGATTACTGCTGACGAAGTGGTTACAGTGACTGCCAATAGCTCATCGGACTGCTTCGAAGTATCATCTTCTTTCTCAATCTGCGCGTATTCCTTGACGACAGTTGTGTCCTCAATCAAAGTGTGACGTTCAACCTCAATCTTCTCCACAACACTCGCCTCCATTGACTCGTCTTCTCCATTCTCCACATCTTTCTTCACTGACTGCTCTTCTCTGTCTTCTTTCCTCTCGTCCTCGCTAGATCCGTTTGCAGTAGGAAAATAGTCGAAGCTGTTGTCTACTTCGTATCCGTCATCCTCATCGTCCGCCCCGTAGTCGGTCTTCTCTTCCTCTTCGAACGCAGGACTCGCTGTTAGCAGCAACGTCCTTGGAGACGGCGAATCAGTGCCCAGTCCAGTCGCAGCCATCGTGTTCATCAACTGCCTCAACGTGTCCGCTAGACTGTCGATTGCCTCCCGACCTTTTTCAAGCGATAAACGCAACAGTGTCCTCGTAGTTCAGTTGGCTTCGGTAGCTTCTTTCCAACTGGGAAATCAAAGCTGTTTTCTTCCTCCGGGAAGCTGCAACAAAACGAGACGAGACGATGGAAAATGACAGCGAGAGAATCGAGACACGTCATTCAACACCATCGTATTAAATAGTCCACTTTAAACATTACAGTGGTCCAGCTTTTAGTCCCTCACTCCTCGCTGAACTCTGTCCACTCCATATCAAGCACCGCGTAGAGTGCAGCCTCCATGTCGGTCTTGTTGGTATATAACGGCAACTCCACGCGGTTAAAGCACGTGTGTACCTTGGGAAAGCCTCGGGCTTGGTTAGGCAACGGTCTCAACGAGAAGGGGCAAATGCGACCATCGTAGCTCGTCAATCCCTTGAATCCTTGCACTGGTACACGCGAAGAACCCGTCGAGAACTGCAAGAATCGAGCCCGTTCGTCTTCCGTGAAGCCTTGGATCACTTCCCAGAACCAGTCGACGACCAGCGGAGCGTCACTGAAGCTGGGGGCGACCACAGTATTACGTTTCCAATCAGCGATATCAATCTCTGGGAGGCCACACAGAACAAGTTCCAGCTCCTGGTAGTCGAAGACTAGTAGTGCTTCCTGAGGGATAATCTCGAATAATCCGAGAGAAAGAGCCTGGAGCTGAGGAGCATAGCGGTCGAGCATGAGATAGCGCAACTTCAGATGAAGAAACTCCATCTTGTTGGCATCCGTCACGGGTTTGTCCCTTCCGTCGGGAACCAGGTCGATCGTGATCACTTCGTCATCAGCACGTAGCTCCGTGACACAGAACGTGAGCTCTAGTGCGTCAACGCCGTCGTTATCCCGGATCCAGAGCATACTGGTATATACTTCTGGGTCGACATACTGTAGATCCGAGAAAGTGATCGGTGTACCGAGGAAATGCTTGAGAATAGGCAGACACAATCTCGCCTGCATCGTCTGTCCCTCAAGTAGAGCACGACCAAGTAGTCTACCGATGCCTCGGAAGTAGAGCAAATGGTCGGCTGTACAGTCTTCCGAGTGGGGGTTAATAGCCACCGCTTGCGTATGTCGATGACACGTCATAAAGAGTCCCAGCTCGTCGTCCAGTAGTCTACCGAATAGAATAGAGAACCATTCACGTTGCAAACCACCAGCGTCGATCCCTGCTTCACCCACGAACTCGATACGTAGAGGGAAGTGGATATGCTCAGGTTGAATGCCCAATAATTGCTCCATACTCTCCACGAGAATGTGTTCGCGTTGGACTCGAAGCTTAATGCGCCCTTCTTCCCATGGTCTCAATAACGCCCCCATTCTCTCCAAGAACCACGTGTATTTCTTAGGAAATGGCAGTCTGGACACGCGATCCAGTAGCTCCAACTCACGGGCAGTGAGTTTGTAGCCACTGATCGTCTCTGCTGCGTCCAGTTGAGAAGCGTCAGCGAACGTGAGACGCCCCACGTCCCCCATCATGGACGAGCGACGCACCATGTGCGTCACGAAGCCCACGGACACGCGGCCGTGGCCTGTAGCACCGCTAACGACTGTGAGTCTCCTAGCAGCGGCAGCGACGTCCGCTCTGGTCCAGAAGGCGGTCTCTCCGTCCTCTCCGAGACAACGCACCCATTCCTTGCGTCGTCTGGCGTACTTTTGTCTCGGATTTAGTGTCGAGAGTCGCAGTGGTCTTAATGATTGTCTGCTGCCTACACTGAGGATAGAAGACCTCTGTGCATTCAGTGAAGGCCTTGTGAGCATAGTAATGGAGCTGGTGGAGCTCAGACGCTCGTCTCTGCCTGCGATTGACTGTTTGAGTCGCGGTAGCTCTTCTCTCTTGGTGTTCTTCGTTCCACACAACATACACGTCGGACGGTCCAACGCGTTGCTGAATTCACATACGGAGCACTTCCAACGCTCTGCTTGGGCCTCTCCACGCTCAAGATCTAGTCTGGTAACGGTTTCCTGTTCTTGTAGCAGCATTCTACACGGTAGAAGGGCGACAACACGTTAGAAAACACTGTTACTTTCCTTCTAGAGCGTGTGAGCGTCGTACCTGGCTAGGAATGACTGCGATGCGCCGCGTAGTTGGTTGCGTGTGCGTAGGAACCACAATCCGCCCGCGAACACGAGCAGAAGCATCAACGACACCATCGGAAGCAGCACGGACATTGAGTCGTCGGACTCCATGGCTTCTTAGGTTCTGAAGGCCGGAGACGCCGGGTTTAGCTACTACTCGGCCTCCTTGGCGCAGTGCTAAACCCGCACAAACGGGTAAATGAAGCTGGAGGCGTCTACGCTTGCGGCTTCGAGCTGTTACTTGGACGCGCAGCCCTCCGGCTTGGGGACTGAACGTTGACTGACGGGCCCAATTTACACTTGAGCAGACTATGGGGACAGTTGCAACGGTCGCGTTGCACACGCAGGTGTTGTGAGACCGGGCAGGGCTCGTTTTCTTCCGCCAGCTGACGATGGCAAAGCTCCAGAACTTGGAAGCTCAGCGCTCCGTTCTATTTCGACGGCGTGCTACAGTTCCAGCTGGGCTCAACAAGAGCTGGGGACAGGCTTGAACGCGGCGTGAAGGTGGCCAACAGACTTGAGCTGTGCTTGAACGACTTTTTAGCGGTTTTCTGACTCTCGATTACTTGAAGAATGTATGGTAGTTGCAAACTACATTTGCCGCCTTACATTCTTCAAGTAATTCAGAGTCAGACAATTGAGTCAGTCGTATCCATGCATCTGATATTTGTAAAATGGTGGTGTTTGCGCCTCTAGGAACACGTGGGCGGATGCAACGCATAAGAAATGGATGCGTCTGCTATGAGAGTTGAAGTGGCTCACGTACTATGATCTTGTGGTGTGTTTTAGATCCATCAAGGGTGGATATCCGGCGGTTTTGCATCCAGCAGTAGTCGCTGGGGCACTACTAGCCGGCAGTGCGCCATTCGACTTACCTCTCATTTGTCCGGATTGTCGCGAGCGCATGCATTGCTGCAGAGTGAGATTGACCGGGGTTTTGAGAGCTTGATCTTGCTTCACCCAACTTCGATTTCTCGTGTCTGATAGCGACTTCGTTGAAACTATAATTCACAAACTTGCAAACCTTTATCGCTATTCCAAAATGATGATCCAATTATTATAATAAGTCTAGGGTCTAAATAAGTCACTACGAGTTATCTAACCTTTTACCGGGTCGAACCGTTAATCTCAAAGAGTTTGAGCTATCTTGCTGTCTTCCGCTCTCACAGTACTTCTCATTCACCTTGGGAAACAGTAGAGCTTAAACAGCATGCTGGAAATTTGTGCAACATTAAAAATCCTGGAAATATCAACCGAAACGCTAGTGTTTCTGGAACTTTGCAAAATTAAAGAACGTCAGTAATAGAATATGTTCTACATACTCTTCCTCCAGTTGTATGAATCAATAGTTCGTTTCACAACGAAACCAATATGCTCCAGACACAAGTAGAACACTTGTTTTTCTTATCACAAGGTGGCGGTCGGATAAATAGAATGATGGTCTTGTTGGAACAGAACGAGACTGCATCCCGAATTAACGATAAATGCACTACTAGGGCGAAATACTCGTAGCAATAAATGAGTGAAACAATTTTGTATTCGCTTTAGTTGGGCCTCGGACTTCCCATTCCAGCGGGCCGCCACGAGAGGAATATGGCACCGGCTCCAAAAATGACTACAAAGGCTATCCCATACACATATTCCAGGTAATACGACATTGCGTACCATTTGTCAGGGTTATCCCGAGCATACGTCTCCAGCGTTTTCAGCTTTTCTGGAGCCACCTTGGTAGGGCTTTTGCCTGTGAAACCTACGGTTGATTTCAGCTTGCTTAGAGCTTGGGCAGCTCCTTGCTCGTCGAGTTTTGTGTCTATCACCTTTTTCGGGTCTCTACGAAAAAGAGATTGGAGCCTGCTGAAAGCGCCACGCAGCTCCGCTCTCTCTTCGTTGGGGGTCGAGTCCTTGCCATGTACACTTAATTTTCCCTCCGACTTGAGGTAACGGACCGTGTTGGCATCATGATAAAGCTTAGGAGCGGACGAAAGGCCTTCAGCGACTGTGAGGGAGGCAAAACTTGCAACAATGGCGGCGATCCCCACGATCTGGAAGGCGCTTACACGCATGTCACCTTCGTATACCAATCAAAGCAGTGCTTGAGCGCTTGACAGACGAATTTGGAATGAGATACTGGACCCGGGTACATACAGTCTGTATGATACAGACGGCTGTGCAGTCAAATCGACGGGATGCGCCTGATACTATACACTGCATACATGCACATGCACACAAGTCCCACTCAGTACATGTATGCGCACCCATATTATCGTATAAAACTTGACTTTTGATATGGTTCTTCTCTTTTGTGTATGGTTGGTACCTACAATTTTAAATATTTCTGTGAAACTAGAATGAAGATCCCGCCGCGCTTACTGATATGTGAGAGAGTCTTCTGTAAGGTAATATGTCTCGTAAACCTTTGAGAGTTTACGTGACGCGGTTAAAATGCAGCAATTGCATCGTAGTCCTCTCTTTCGAAGTAAAGCTATGTTTTGCTGAAGACTTACTACATAAAAAATCTACCATTTTCGTTCGGTGAATGCAGTGATTCTATGACAATTCCTGCTCTTACAAGGGCGCCATGAAAGTCATCGTCAATACCAAGGTACAATCCGGCCCACACTTATCGAGTTGTTATTGATGTTTATAAGAAGAGGTAAGGTTCGTGATTCTGGAGATTTTAACGTTGCTTACGATAACTATATATTTTTGGCATACAAAGCGAAAACTACAACACTTCTGGGTATTTCGCCGACATTTTATAAATACGAAGTCTGTTCTTCGTGGTTGGAGACATGAACGAGGGCTACACCAAAACAGTCGTTATTTACCGAGGTGCTGTCGGGAAGGTAGATAATCGGAATGTGTTAAGGTGTTCATTGTGAACAAGCTCATACTGACTCCGAACAGAGCGAGAATAATTTTCAGTAGCCAATCCTCCCCATTATTGTTTGTTGTGCACTGCTCGAAGCTAAAGGTACTAGGATCCATTTTTAAGTTACATTCACGATTGGAAAACCCTTATATAGGAATAAATTGGTGCCTCCCAGCGTTTGAGTGCTGAGAGGATTCTCTGTATACATATTAGCCATTTGGTTGATTGCCACTTTCTTGTGTCTAAAAGAAGGTGGTATTTGGTACAAAATCTACTGACAAATAGTCGTTCAGATGACGGCCACAACAAAAAGGAAAGTGCCATACACAGCTTCTGCCTTGTAACAATGAGTGTTGTTTTAATTGCGAACTTCGTCAGCTTTACAACGACCGTCGAGTGAGTCCGAGTGCTGGACCACCTAATTCAGAGAACGCTGCGCAAAGATACAAATTGTCAAAAGGAGGGCTCAATTTCCGTCGCTGTTCCGTGAGAATCCGACTGTAACAAGTAAGGCGAAGATGAAAGAAGTCTCTTCGGTACAACAAGCTCGCTTTTTATAGTGTTTCAAATTTGTTCAGGCTAGAGGGCGACAGCTACAACCTCTATCATTTAGAGATTCACTACAAGCATGTCGATAGAGGGTTTGCAACGATAACCAAGGCTCAGATGAGTGATGTTCCGACTGGATCACGGGCCTGACGTGGAGATTTCCATTCGCATTTTTATTAAACTACAGCGGGCTTATTATTCACGCCGATACAAGAATCATGTTGTGCTGGTCCATATGCGCGAGTAACCACGGCAAATTGAACGACAATTAAAAGTTAACCTCGATACTGGATGATTCAAAGTCTTGGTAAAGATGTTGCTTTAGTTAAGAAATTTGTGCTTTTGCGCGGCATGTACTGTGTGCTGCACAGCTTCATGTAAGTAAGTCTTCATACTCGACCAGGTTTATCCTGGTCAATTTTAGCTAAAGTGCAACAAGTGAACTCGAATTTTAACAAGTTGTTGTGGTCTAGGTGGAAAAAAGTCTTTTTTTCGAGGATTTGGTAATAGTATATAAGCTAACAGCATTGGATAGTGTTTGGCCGACAATGCTACCGCACACTCTGTTGAACACCATGGTACTGTAAGGTTACTGATGGGGCACGCGATGCAGAGAACTTTAAAGAGATTCTGCCAAAAAGATGTGGGTAACCCACACACTGGGTTCCGAGATCATTGCAACCCGATCAAGAGATACCACTAGGCACTAAATCATTATTTTTAACAAGCCTTCGGGTACAAAGCACCCATATTAGTTGTTGGCTCTGGGACTGCCGCCCATTCCATACGGTCGCCACCCGAGGACGAGAGTGCCGTACACAAACCATACCATGAGCCCGACGCCGAGAACATTAGTGGTGAAGTATGCCATCGCCCACCATTTGTCCGAGCTGCTATGAGCCAACGTTTCGAGTTGTTTCACCTTATCCGGAGTCAGCTTGGTCGAAGTTTTGCCTTCACCAATGATCGAGTTCACCTTGTTATAGTAGTCATTCGCCCCACCCACATTGTTCTTTGCTTCACTCATTTTAGTTGGATTCCTGACCAAGAGCGACTTGATCCTGGTGAGAACACTCGTCATACCCCTCTCTTCGTCGCCAATGGGGTACGACTTCTCTTCTCCGTCACTTGTAGATTTGAGGTTGCGACTTTGGGAAACTTCGACGACAGACGGATGGTCACGCGTCCGGACACTGTTCTCGGCGGTAATGAAGCCGACACAGCCAGCAACAAACGCGACAACAACCAGGAGGAGCGAGCTTCTCTGCATCATGCCTTCTTCTTGGGCAACCTAGCAAATGGACAGTTCTTGTGGATCCCCCAGCCGTTTATAAAGTGAAGAGCGTTGGGAATTGCTCAACCCTGCTGTGTACCCAATCATGGATGCAGAGATTCTACTTGTGATCGTGAAGCACCAGCGCATTGGATGTTTTCATAGGTACGGTTGTAGATTAGCTCGAGCAAATCTCGCAGTACTGTACCTGGCCAACGTACATGTATGATACATGATGTATCTGCAAATGGAATGCAGGCTGTCAAAATGCATAAATGCGCACCAATGTGCAAAACTGGTCACGAAATATGCTGTTCGTCAGCCACCGCAAATACCATACATACATGAAAGCTCTGCTCTCCTGGTGGCAATCACACCGTTTCCAATTCTCATACGTACTGTAGTTTCTAGTAGCACTAGTATTTGAAGGAATACAGTAATGCAGAAATCTTGAAAACGTACTGGTACTTGATTAGTTATAAATTTCAAAGGTAAGCTATTATAGGTATCAATACACGAACTGTAAGTCCACTGAACTAACCAGCGCAAAAGTACTCCACCCACAGTCATTTTACTCTATCTTCAATGGCCGCCTCCGAGCCTCTCCATGTTAGACTGTGGTTTCCCGGGGCCATTTATGCTCTGTAGGATCCAAGTTCCACTTACTGAGAATTAGTGTCACATTATTTGGCTTACATAGCTTTTAATTGATAAGTACAGCAAATATCGAAGGTATTATTACTCATTGCAGATATTTTGGTCCAGGCCTGTATATTATCTCGGTTATAGACTCGAGTTTATTTTAACCAGCTCTCATTTACGACTTAACTCTAATTTATATAACACTCTTTTCTAGCTTGATGATCTAAGTTATAAACTCGTATTTCCAACATAAACGCTAGTTGTGAGTTTAAAACGCAGAATTGCACTTCCAAAAGGGCAAAGACGACTTCACTGCTGCCAAATCAGACCACTGCATCAACGTCAAATCCAAGTAAGCAAATATTGGGGCTTTCATCA